CTCCCGGCGGCCTCCCCGAGCCGCGCCCTCCCGTTCCGCTGCGCTTTTGTTCCCCTCTGCCCGCCCCCCGGCCTGTGCCCCGGGGCCGCAGCGCTGCCCCAGCCCCGCGCTGCGCCGGAGCTGCGGCTTCACCTGCCGCTGCTCAGTGCGCACTACATCCCACAGTGGGCTGAGGCCGGAGGAGCGGTGGCGGAGCCAAGGCCTGACGAGCGGGCCGCTCTGCCGCCCGCACCCTCCCGGGACTGGGGGCTCGGGGGAAGGCGCCTCTCTCTGCCGCCGAGTCCTTTGGAGCCAGCGTTTCCTCCTGTCCGAGGGTCTTCACAGGGGCAGCAGTGAAACCCCCAACCCTGCCACCCTTCTGCGCGCACCGGGGAGCTGGAGGCTCTTTGAGCAGGACCGGCGGGCAGGAGGCAACGTGGAGTGGTGCTGGTTTGTACCTGGCCAGGGCACGGGGAGAGCAGGGGATGTGGGGCAGCAGAAGGGGCTCATCCCTGCGTGCTGCCCTGCCCTCCCGCTGGTGCCAAGGGCCCTCGACAGTTCCGTGGGCTGAAACATTTCAGTATTTCAGTGTTTCGGAGAAGTCATTTCAAAGCTTGCGCTGCTGGTGGAACAGGAAGGAAGGAAATAACTGATGAAACTGTTTTAATTTGCCCCAACACTGCTAAATTGTAAAGGAAGAGGTGACTCAAAGACACTGTTGCCCATGAAAAGTAGTTTGTTTTAAAAGAAATGTTAGACAGATGCATTCACACACGCACATCTTTTAGAGGATTATGAGTTACCAACCACGTACAAGTAGACACTCACCTGTGCTTGAGTTTGCAGATTTAGATTGTAAAGTGAAGATGAAACATTAAAAAAACAACAACAAACCAAACACAAAAACTCCAACCTTGAAAATTATCCTCTAATAATTTATTGAGTTAATCACATTTTTATGAAGCCTCTTAGAAACCTGTCAAAAATAAGGTGGATTTGAGGAATATATATTTTTACTTAGAATCTGTCCCATACAGCCTGTCATAGTAGCTTCTACCTCTTGCCTTTCAGTAGAGGAATAATTTTTAGCTGAAATTGGAGGGCAAAACGGAGAGAAATCTGCTGCCTTTCAACACGTTTCTCCAGAATATGAAACATATGAGCTGTGGCAAGTAGTGGAATTAGAAATGAAATTTCAAAGTAAGAATAATTGGCAAGGGGCCAGCTTTTTAAAAATAGTTCTGTTGTACACTTATGAATCCTCATCATCAGAGAATGTGGCTGCTGCTTTATTTGTAAGTAAGCAGGTGACTAACAAGAAGTCCAAGGTCTGCTTCTGAAAGGAAGTTCAGCATCTACAGTACCAGAGGGCAGTAGGATGCAGGTTGTCTGTATGAGTGCCTGACAGAGAACTGAGAAAGGTGGGCAACTCCTTTGGTGTGACAAAACTGGGAATGAGCCAGCTGGAGAAAACCACCATGAGACAAAGACAGTGAAGACTCTGAGGAAGAGGGTTCAAGGTGGCTACAAAGAGCAAGGTTGTTATCAGCTAAGAAGACACACTTCAATGAGGTAAAGGTAAAGAAAAAAGGAGCCTTTAGACTACTGAAATTATTAAAGCTGACAGCAGTCCTAGGTGGTGTGATGAGTGGGAGCTATAGGCAGCCAAGAGCAGTTCATTTGTTTTTTTAAGCTGCCCAGTACCTGGAGCAATTAAAGCTACAGGGGAGCAGAATTTCCTTTTATAAGAGGGGGGGACATGACTGAGCCCTCTCCTTTCCCTGACTTCAGGGTACTCTTGCCTTTCACACATGGCAAAGATGGACTCTTCAAGACATGTCTTTGCTATATGGGTGGCAGTAGAACATTCCCTGCTCAGGGGAAATTCTCCACCTACCTCCTCCACCAGTGTAGTAAACCGGAGAATCTGATCAACACACCTCCACTCTGGCAACAAAGAAATTAATAAACTAGCTTGGGATTTTACTGAGTTCTTCTTGTAAAGAATGGGAAACACCAAAATTTCCCCAGCGCTTATTTTTAAACAGCTGCCAGTAGTTTTATAATTCTGTATAAATGTGTCTACCCTAACCTGGTTCTCATTACCAATTGACAGCTGTGAAAAGAACCAAAATGAAAACCGGGAATCTGGAAACAGTTGCTTTTTGTGCTTTTCCCTTTATAAATGTAATGTCAGCATAATAATAACCATAGGTTTTGTATCAGATCTTACATAATAGTATTTAAGGTGTGCTGCTTATTTCAGAGGTTATGGCAATGGCTAAGAAGTGCCGAGATCCATGGCCACTCATACCTTTCTTCTTACAAAAAAGCTTAATGGTTCCACAGAGAGGAGCCCCATGAAAGTGATTGTTCATACATCACTCAGAAAATCTTGGTAACATTTGTTGCCACTGCTATGGGGCAGGCTAAACAATTGCTCAGTCTTAATCTTGTGACCTCAAAACAGCCACATGTCTGCAACATTTCCCAACCAGATCTCCCTGATTTACTGGAGTTTGGATATTGTGACAGCTCCTTCTTTACCCACTTCGTGCATATAGGATGGATAGGATTCTTGTAAATATCCATGAACATATAATTTGATTAACAGAGGAGGCTAATAACAGAGCTGAAGTCTAGTGTCCACCTCTGGATTCTAAACAGTTTTTTTAGGACACAGGCATGGGCTGTTTCGTATATTGGTTGAGGCTCACCAATATAGCTGGCTTTAAATAACTATCGATAGGCTTTTCTAAAAAGATGTTAGTTTATTCTATATTAATACATCTATAGACCTATGCTAATGCATTGATGAAGAAGCTATTTTGATGACTTTAATATATTTATAGTATTTTAAACAAACTGATCATTTACTGACATTTGTAAAGCCATTGACATAAGCATGTGATATCAGTATTTTCATTGAAAAGGCTTTTGAAAACTCCTGCCTCCTAGCAACCAGCAGCATTTCCTCAGTGTAAAAATTTCCAAAGTTTGCCCACATCTCTGATTAGTGGTATGATACAGGTAATCATGCTAGATCTGAAGCTGTTGCCCTGGTAACCAGTAAACACATCCAGTGAAACAGCTATAAGTGGTAAGAGGAACACGCAAATGAAACCACTGCAATATTTTCTCTTCTTCAAACGCTTTAGAATTGTTAAAATGTTATAATTATGCTGCCAAACAACATAATAAAACATGCAAAAAACACTGCCTTAAGATTCTACATTGTACTTGGCAACTAAAAGGTAAAATTACAAGCTATGATTGGACCTTGTCCTCTTGTCCTCAAAGTGAGAAGAAAAGGTTTTCACTGTTGGATTTCTGTAATTCACATCAGCAACAAATTCACACAACACATGCACACAAGACATTTTACAGGAAACTCAAGCCTTCCGCAGCTGCACATAACTCTTCTCCCTGCCCTCCCCTCTGCAGCAGAGCAGACACTAACTTGCCAGCAAGGCCTCTGCCTGCACCCAACTGTAAGCAGGAGGCTGCCAATCTGCAAGTTTTATGGATGCCACAGTAATGCAGAAGCAGAAATTGCCTGAAGTTCCCTTTGAATGTAACCCCTCCATGTGAGGCTAGGTAATGGAAGCTAGTAGACTGGTAGTCGTGAAGTGCTTGTGAGCATTCCCTCTACATTCAGAGAATGGAGGGAGAGCAGGAAAATCTTCCTCATACACCAGGTGTTTCAAAGTGCATTCATAGTCATCTGCCATACTTAAATACTGACAAATATAAATGTTGATGGCTGAAAAACAAGCAATGCTTCTTGTGTCAGAATGTCCAGTATAACCTACTAAATATCAGAGTATACAGACATCTTAGCTGTCTAGAAGGGAAGCTCATGTTCTGGGTCAGAAATCACTGTGGCTAGGAAAGAATGTGAGGCATGTCATACCCTTGCAATGCAAGCACTGAATTGAAAAAATTCATAGAGAGTGTCTAATACAAATTACTGTTTCCATAACCATTGGCCCAGTAGATTAGTAATAAAACTGAAAACCTTTTGCAGTTTATCAGAATCAATCTGTACTGGATCTAATGTTGCAGGAGGGAATTTATTAGGCCTGTTTTCTGCCCAAGTGATGTTCAGTCAAGGTAGGCAGCTGTCAGCCACAGCCACAGCATTTCTGGGAAGCCTGCTGGGCTGTGCCAGTATGGCTAATGAAGCCTACAATTTTCATTTATAATTACACGCATCTGCAAGACTAGATATGGAACCCACATCAAACCAGGTTTGTTAGCCTCTTCCACACGCTTCTAAGAACTCTATACAAGGGAAATTTCGTAGCTGAAATTATTCGGAAGACACAT